GCATTTGAACTTTAGGCTAGTGCAGAAAGACAATGAACTTAGTAATGACTAAGGACAGAAGATCACTGTCACATTGCGCAAATTTAACGAGTAATTCTAAATGGTCTAAAAGCCACTGGAACTTAACGTTTAGTGAAAACGCGGCAACTACATAATTGTTTAACAGTGAATTTAATTTAATTAATTAAATTAATTTAATTCAATAATAGTGAAGCCGGTGTCATTATTATTTTTACCGTGATAAACATTATTTCACGTTTTTAAAAAATTTCTTTCGTTTCAGTCAAAGTCGAAACAACGGAAATTAGATTCTGACGACCTTGACTTTGATCTTGCCAGAAGCAGTAGAGGAAAATGGGTGAGCTGCAACTGCGCTACAGCTACTGTTTTTCGTCTGTTCAAGGCCTGTTGAAACTGCTGCAGATTGTAAGTAGTTCTGGAGTGCGTGCCGAATACCATTCTAATAAAAGACACACTTCTGACATGTCAGTTGAACGTTTCCATGTTCAGATATTTTCGTCGGTCATTCTCGGTCTGCTGCTGTGGGAAACCGTCATTCGAACGGATCGCGCCTACTACGCATATCGATATCTGTACGAAGGCGAGCAATATACGGTGTTCGTTGCGTCGTTTGCTTTGTGTGTCATCAGCCTGTTCTTGATTTTGTTCTTTTTCAACTGCCATCAAGGACCACTTGCCGCTTGTCGCTGCTTTAACCTGGTAAGTCGAGTCCGGTTTTTTTTAAGTCATAATTTCCTACAACGCATTGTCATTTTGTACAACACTGGGTTGGGCATTTTTTTAAAACGGTTCCTGATTTTTGGTGAAGAACTGAATGGTTCTTGATGATTCATGCTGAACGCGTATATTCACATAAACACGATCCGCAGTGACGTAAAGACCTTTACCGTCCACCGGCGCGTTTTGTCACTGACAACCAACAGTAATTAGGCAGAATTATCTGGAATGCCCATGCATCAGCGACTACTACAGAATGTGTATTAATGACACAATAATTGCAAGGAATCGAATCAGCAGGATAGCAACCATAGATATGGTTAATATGTGCTTCCATAAAATTATGGTTAATAAGAACGGTAAATAAAAATTTAACTCACGTTTGATGCTTCTATAACTTCTTCACGATATCAGTTTTTGTGGCTCCTAACTGCCTGTTATTAACGATTCTTTTCTCATAAGTCCTATTTTCCCTATCTCAACCTGGTAGGACGATTCCAAAGAATTCTCAAGACAGTTTATTGTTTAGCTTATGGCCCTGATAGATTCAATCATGATCAAAGGTTAGAAATATATCTGGCAAAGCTGAAGAGGAACTATTCCTTCACTTGACGAGCGTCGAGAGTTACGACCAAATTCTCCACAAACAATAACCGGACGGATTGCTGAATTGCCTCCGACCAAAGTAGCAGCTGATCAAGCATTAAGGTAGAGAGTCTAAGAATTGACGGGACACGGATCAGTGCTGCTACGGTTTAAACTCGCGGGCAGCGCACAAATTCAGATAAGTTCCAGGCAGCAAGACTTCAAGAGCTGGAGGAAAGATGTTGTGGGATTCAGCTAAGTTAGATGAAAAGATGAGGGTTGTTCCAGCTCTTCAGCGAATAATCACTGTGATACAGAAAATTAGCCAATATGAAAGCATGCGGAGTAGGGTTTCTTGCCGACAGAAGAATTAAGATCAATGCAACGCAGTTAGACTGTGCTTCAAAGAGGTGTGCAGGAATGATTGTTATAGTTTCAAAGGATTCGAATTAGTCGCAGAGTATCGTGAATGACTGGCAGTCAGCTATGTATCAATTCCCGAAGAAAACATCATCCTAAATAATTTATCAAGCATTCCATTTCCTGAAGACAAGATGGTGAGTTGTGATCGAGAGGGATTGGAGGTTATGAAGATGATGGATATATATCATAAAAATGATAATGAAATCTTCTTTCGTTGTTCAGATGGCCAAAACCATGAAAATTGTAAATTTAACTACTGCGCAACAGAATGCACGTTATAAATTTTATGAATCAACTATATGGAATATGACCGTATCTTTGAGTGCATAACTGTTTCTGAATCTGAGCAAGGATGACACCTATTATTTTTATAGTTGTTGATCGCAACTTTATGAATGCCCGAAAACTTTTGCTTAAAGTCCAAAAGAACACTTTTAGTTCCATACGCCGCTCCACAGGATGAACTACCAAAACCAATCCGGACCACCTTGAAAAATGCCTGTGACAGATGAGCAGAAACACTGATGTCGGCCAATTACTTGATTGACCAATTTATATGCGTTGTCTGCAAAATAAACCGTTTGTAAATTATTTCGGTTTACAGGACAATGGTGGATGGAGGGGGAAGAGGGGAAGAAATTAGCAGAACATTGGACATCAGGCTCTTCACTGATTGCATAGTATTAAGTTGTAAGATATTGTTTTTAATATTAATCTGAGTCTACAGATTTTTTAATCGTTTTCATATTACCAAATTAATCAATTTTCAATAGCCCCTTTTTGTCAAATTGCTTTCTTTGTTCTTATGAAATACCGTACATTGCATGCTGATTTTCAGGCACAGTTCACCTACTTTCTGCTATTTTTGATGTGGATCGCTGCCGCCGGAGTAGAAGTTTGGGTGACGACCAGATTCAAAGGGTATTACGGGGAGCAGAGCGAACTGTACGGACGTCGGGCAGCAGCCGCGGTAAATTATTGAATTTCAGTTCAAATCAATCTGTTCCACGCTGGACAATATTAAAAACGCCTTCAATGATTTTAGGCCCTGTGCTTTGCCAACGTAATCGTTAACGCCTTTAGCATATTTTTTTTAAAGCAGTATGGTCCTTGAAGACGTCGCTTCGGTGTGACCCAATATGTTTACTAAAAAAATGAAGTTCATCCGGTCCATGACAGTACACTGCTTGGAAGAAGTGGTGTAAAGTGAATTGTTTTGCGAGCTGACTGTCTTGAAATGATAAAAAAATATATCTTTATGTTTCTGATACTTGTACAAAGCAGATTTGTGCATTTTCAATTCAGTAGCGTTTCCTGTACGATTGTTTTCAGGTCTCAAATACTTAGATAGAAAAATGAGTGTTCATCTATGGTCTTCAGAAACTAGTACAGATTTAAATATTGTATTTTGATGATGTGACCATAGAGGCTTGAGTTAACGGAATTTTACTCGACTTATAAAATAAATATGCATCGGTCTGACTGAAAATGTGTCTGAAATTTACTATAGTTGCTGAAGGCGTCACTCCTGGCAAACTGCCCCAAGGCAGTAGTGGACAAATGCTTTATCTTTAACACTGTGGATATACTTGTTCATTCGTCTTTCCTTGCTGCAAGTGGATCTATATATTTGTGATCGCAGATTTATGTTATGCGTAACGGTCTATATCTCTGAGCGATGGGTGATAACTTTGAAGAATAGGATAGATGAATCAACGTCAGAAAAACTAGTAAAAAAATATAAGTAAATAATCAACGAAACGGCTTAGGTTGCCTTTATGATTATTGGTCTGGTGATAGTTGACATCGTCACTTTGAGCCTTGTGCACAGGTAAAACGTCTATGCTTCGTAACGTCCGCAGCTTTTCAACTGTTTTGTTATTAGGGCACCGATTACTGCCTCGTAGAAGGAAATATTCCC